CTTCACTTTTTTCTTGGTGATTTTGGCAACAGTGACACTTTTGAGACGCTTAGACTTGACTGTTGCAACGGGATCTCGTATAAACTTCTCGAGTTGTTGGTTGAACAGCACTGCCTGGGCCCAACCCGCATAAGCTCCAAATTTTTCTTCATAAAATTGCACTGGAAGAACAGTAAGTAAAAGTAAGGTAAGAAAAAGGGAAAAAAACGGCAGTAAAAGACAAATTTTAACTCACTGAGGCGGCGGTTGAGGTTTTCGGTTAGCGCGGATTCCTTCAAATGTGGCAGAAAATACCTTTTGGTGATCTGCAAATGATGTGCAACATCATCATACAAACTGGGAAAGACGAACCTCGAAAACATGACGATCAATGGGGACGCACTGGTTTTGTCCCATTGCCATTAACGCTACACATTCAGCGACCTGAGTTGTTGAATAAAGGTAAGGTGGAAATGATATCAGAAACTATCCACTTTACCTTGGGTCCCACTCCAGAAAATCCGCGAAGTGCCTTTCGAATTTCATCACATGGAAGACGCGCGAGATCCTCAAGAGTGTTCGCAGGCATCTTGCCCAGCTTCCGGACGGTCTCACTAAACATAGAAGCTTATTTCCTTTGAAACGGGCTTACTCTGCTACTTGCCTAATATAATTGGCTCTATATCCAAAAAGTTGCTCCCGCAGCACACCTGTGAGTTCATCCTGAACGGCTGTCAGTTGAGGTAGGGTTGGAAAAGCATAGCCCAATTCCGGATACTTTTCTAGCACGCAAGTGTACTGTGATGGTGAATCAAACACTATCGGATCGCCATACAGCTTTGCTAACTTATTAACCATACCTGAATTTTTATGTTGTTCTGATTGTCCAGACAATTTCCTTGGGACGGACCGACCAGATATTCTGGGAATATTGTTGTTAGCAGAGCAGATAAATGCAATCAATGTCTCCAGTGGTTCTTGTTTGAGTATTCTTATGCCATGCAAATCTTGTACTTCTCTAAGTTTACTCATAAATGCATCCTTCAAACACCAGTCGTCCCATAATTCGGAAAGAGAAACTTCCAACTGGAAAGAGTTGTTCTATTCAAAAACAAGACTGTAAGTGTTCAATCATACTTGCAAATATTTGAAAAGTTTAGTTGCAGGGTCTAAGTTCAGACTTCTGGCGGCTCTACCTAGGCAGCACCACTCAACTGAACTTTCATCTTGGCGTTTGAGGTAGAAAAGCAAGCCTTCTACGACACCATAATATGACTCATTGAAGACCCGCCATCTGGAAGGTGTATTCGTAATCAAAGATCAAATAACATTCAGAACTACCTGAAAGATTGCCCATTGAG